GGTCGCTCAAAGCGCGCAAAGTTTTCTATGTATTTTATATGGGGAAAAAACAAGATTACTTAGAAATGGCATAGAATTCTTTATAATCAATATTTTTTTATCTTTGTTTCTCTTCAGGTAACTGCCAATAATAATATCCAATTGTGCATTTTCAAAATTTTGTATACTAGCGATTTTTTATGGGTCCCCCATTGCAAATTTTTAGGTGTTTAGGGTACTATATAAAATACTTAATAATAGAAAATGGTTAAATAAACAATTGGGTATTAGGTATTATTGAAATCTCCTGAAGAGGAACAATTTTTTCGGATCGAAAAATATTGATTTTCAAGAATTCTATACCCTTTCTACAAAAACTGGTTTTTCCCCCATTTAAAATGCGTGGAAAAATTTGAGCGACCTCTAAATATTTTTTGGTTTTTCGGAATAGAACAATCCTAGAAAGTTAGAGCATTAAAATTCCGGCTTTACTTTTTTTTTACCTCCCTAATGTACATACATTCATTCACTAAAACTTTTTTTAAAAAAATTTAATTTTTCACTATCTAACAAATGCGTATATGTATTCATCTTCAATACGTAATGGAAAAGCGTCACATAAACTGCGAAAAAAATTGTCCGTCCGACGGGTCGTTGAGACAGCTGCCAAAGCCAAAAGATTATGATCTTTTTTCCCCTGTGGCTGTCTTAAAATGTGCCTACAAGTTTTAGAGCAATGGTCATATGTACATACATACATATACACTACGTATGTATATACCCTGCAGAAAAAAATTTTCAATTGATAAAAAATAACCCCACTTACAAATAGCTAGCTCTTTTGCGGGATTTCTATAAAATATATAAGTTGTAGTTCGCTACAAAAAGGTAACTTGAAACTAGTTGACAAGTAATGCACTACGCAAATACTTTTTCGAATTGAGGACAAATAAAAGAAAGATCCAAATTTCATATTATCATTTTGAAGTTAAGTCTGACGGAGTTCGAATATGGGAATAACACAACAGCAGAATATGTAAACAAATATGAAATATAATAAAATTAATAAAGTAAATAAATAAAAACAAATATTTTGTTTTTCCTATTAATATTTTATGTCCAAAAGTAGTTAGTTACATCAAATGCAGAGGTAACCCACCCTTGACTATTTCGCGGCCATCCACATAGAAATATAGTTAGCTTTCGTCAAAAGAAAATGCAGATAATAGTGACTTTTATCTCCTTCCTAATCAACTTATAGTTAGATATATTTCCTTCAGGGTACAGGGCAGGGCAGGGTATGCATGGGTATGTATGTATATGAGTATGCACTCGTATGTTCATATATGTACCAAACACACACAAGTGTGTGTACACGTTTTATGTTAAATAAATAAATTTTCTGCAAATTTCTAAATAAATAAATAAATACATGAATTTTATGCGATTTTATATTCATGTTTTGGCGAAAAATTAATAGTCACAAACAAAAATAGAATAACAAACTACGAGCTATTCCTTGCAATTATGGCAGCAATACAAATTTCGATTTTCACCTTCACTGCAAACAATCTTTCACACATATGTAGATGCTTTATATGTTTTTTCGATTATTTTGCATTGAGCAATGTTTATTTATGCGGATATACTTATGCCCCGCCAAGTCAAAGTGTTTCAATATCAATTTGTTTACACACAATTTAATTGTACAACAACGATGAGCACTTCATGAGCTCAATAACATAAATTATTTTCGACATAGAAGTACTACTTACTACTAAAAATTGTTTTTAAAAGTTCTCGAGTGTCTTCTAAAAAAAAAATAAATAAGTAAAAGATGTTCTCAGCTGGAAGGTGTGTTTGCCGGAGCACATTTAGCATAGCTAACGTTCAAGGAAAAAAGCTATGAAAGTAAATATATGTACATTGTACATATGTATAACTCATTTAAATACAATTTGTTTATTTACTCAAATAGATTTTCTATGATTTTTTTTATTAATTTTGTGGAGTTCCAGATAATAAATAAATACGGAACGCACAATATTTCAGTAAAACTAATCCTCGTTTATTAGTAATTAATATTATATCAAAATGTGGTTACCAAGAATATTGCAAAAGCGCGTTGATCTCAAAGAAGGACCGGCCAAAAAGAAAGATTTTAGTTCCTTCTTCTGTCAAACTAACTTCCGCAGGGTTGCATTCTAGATCTAGTTAGGAGGTTGCCACAATTTCAATCACAAAAAATAATTGCTGTTCTTGGATTTTACTTTTCCGGTAATATATAGTGGCGGAAAAATAAATGGGAATGCTACATTTTAGCAAGTTTTAGCTATTTTGTGTTTTGTTTATTTAATATTTTTTGTTTTTTTTTTTAGATGAAACTTTGCAGAATTGTCATAATTTTTGCACCAAGTTTGAAATTTGAGTTTATATGGTTTTTTTTAGAGGATGTTCTAATAACAAGTAAGGACAGTGCTGTCTTCAGCTATGCCGAAGGCTTCATACCTTTCACAAATATCAGAAAATTTTACTTCAACCGATTACTGCATTTCAAACCATGTAGTTGTTTGGAAGCAAAACTTTTATTTCCACTGCATACATAATATAATAATGTTCAATTACTGGCCTTTTTCTAAAACCGTTTTTCGAGATATTCGAAAAATTGCAATTTGAAAAAAAACCGGTTCCCTATTACATAGTTTTCCTACAGTGTTGATATGAAGTCTTGACCAAAAACTACAATAAAACTTCTAACATTAAAGGTAGCTTTTATTTAAAAATGAGCAAGGCAAAATTAGTTGAAAGTATTTTTTAGATCAACAGTAAAACAAATAAAATTCAGTGAAAAATGCACGTTTCGGGTTATTTTAATTTTTTCGGATTTAAGTATTGCTCATTCCGCGTTAGCCGAGTGCTTAAAAGCGCCTACTTATACTCGGGAGGCCTATGTTTCTGTTCCCAGCAACATCAAAAATAGTTTTTTTCAAATAGCGATCGCCTTCGGCACATAATGGTAAACCTCCAAGTTTACTTCTGCTATAAAAAGCTTCTTTGGACGTAAAGCAAAAGTGTACATAGATCTGTCCATTAACCCCTAATGCCCTTAAACTGGAAAAGGCCTTGGAAAACTTCGAAAAACTCAAGACTCTAAGAGAGAGGTTAAGATTTGTATGAAATGAAAAAAAACCGGTTTGTCCTATTAAAAAAATCCGGTTTATTCGATATTCGAAAAATCAATAATTCAAAAAAAACTGAAAAAACCGGTGGAAACCTGTTTGGAAAAACCGAGTTAATCACCCTATTATTTTGGGGAATTCGATATGTAGGCGAGTTTGACCAAACGTTTTTATTGCGAATAATCTCAAATGTAATATGTAGTTAATTCTAGTAAAATAATTAAGAATTAAGTACTCTTCATTATACGTTAATTCTTAGTTGATTATTCCAAATTTTACCCACCTAATCAATAGAGAAATTTTAATTTTGACAGCTTTATTTTTGAAAAATTTCTTTAAACAAATATTTTATTACTTAACACATGCTTATCAATTCTCCGGAATATTTTTTTTTATGTATGTTACCGCATAACCCTGAACCACGTTAACCGATTTCTAGAATCCTTTTTTTCAAGGAAAGGTGTTACCTCACTAATTTCGTTTAAATCCGATCATAGGATCATGAAGAAATTAACGATAATCTTAAATTTTTATATGAGAATTGAAGTAGGTTTTGTTTTTTGCTTAAAAATTACTTGCTTTTTTACAATTTTTATTCTAAGCACTTTTGATATTTGACTTTTAATTCTAATATATAAAACTCTACTTTTCAGTTATATCAATTAAATTTTAACAGATTATATCATAACTGAAATAATTGTTTTGTATTTTTTTTTAAGAGAATCAAGTGTCTTTGATGAAAAAGAACCCAACCCAATGTATAGGATCATATCGACGGTTTTGATAGCACAAAGTGAAGCCGCCTCTACGATAGTATGTACTTTGGTAGCCCATTAAAGTTTATTACAATAAAGTGGAAGCTTGAAGTAAATAGGAGTTACTGTTGATATTTGGCAGTTTTTTTTTTTAAGGTGTTACTCATATTCTCAATACAAAAAAAGTTTTCCAACATCTTTTGTATGAAAGAAAATGCATGAACAAAAATTGCCAAAAGTCAACGGCAAGACGTAGCTTCTTCAAACTTGAAGTTTATTATACTATTTAATTTTAGAAAAAATGCCTTATGCCCAGAGATGGCAGCGATTACTCATTTGATCAAATTAATCGATTATTTTTGTCCAATTTACGACTTAATTGTATCGTAGTTTTGTTTTTTATAAACCGATTATTAATAGATTAATTGTAAAATAATCGTAAAAATGTGTTCAAGAAATAGGAATTTTGTAGTTGTCTAAAATCTATCCATCGAGCATTTTTTTTTTGCTAGCTGCATCAACTTCACTTCACTCACTTACATTTTTTTATGGAAAAGTGTTTTTGTGAATACCCACTGTAAAACAGTGCCTTTAAAAATTCCATTAATCGATTATTTCTCAATTGCAATTAATTGTTTTTTGGCTTGTGATTAATCATATGATTAATCGATTATTTTATTTTTATTTGCCATCCCTACTTACAACAAAACCTTTTCCACTTTGGTTAATGAAGATGAACGAGTAAACGATGCGTTCATATACAAATAACTGGCCATTTAAGCACAAGTGGTGTAAAGTGACTTATGCCACTTTCAAAATAAACGGCTGATATGTATATACATATGTATATCATGCATACCAAAATGTGTACATATATACATATATGTATGTACATAATAAATATGCGGATAGATACATGCATAATTATGTTGGCATACATATCTCCAGAGTTATTGATTTTTCACACTTGGAGGAAAAGTGGGTGTCTCCAACCACTTTGCATATACATATATGCATGTATGCATCCTTGTATATACACACAAAATGTTGAATTTTTAGCCACTTTTAAACTTAATCTATTGCTTACCAAATCCTTAAAAAGATCCTTGCTAATGGCTGGCGTCAATTTTAGTAATCCAACAAAAATGAAAAATAATCCAAGCAGTATTGAAAGACTTTTCAAAACTAACGTATTCGATGCGGGCATTTTGAGAAGTGTTTTTTTTTTGTTTTTTTGTGCAAATATTATGTTAAAAAACTTTACATAAGTATAATACAGTGTTTTCTTTTCAAGGTATAATACTTCCGATATTAAAGCCTTTACACTAATCACCCTAAAATACTAGTTTCACAATTTTCAAAATTTTTTAAAATTTTAATTTGTTGTGAGCACCAAATGCTTGTATGTTTGTATGGATGTTGTTGCTGTCTCTTCACAAACGCCGCACTGCAAATCCCTTATAGTACACGTAATAAATATACAGCCGTTTGGTCTATTTATAGTGTTGATCGTTGAAAATTTTTATTCAAAAAAAAATGCATATTCTCTTTTTACTTTGTTTTCATTTTGTATTTTAAGTACACATATTTCATTTATATATGTACTTTTTTTTTCATTCAGACAACAACCGGACCGGTGCGTTTATTTTAGATGAAACCAACGGCGCTCATGTTCGAAAATGACTGAAACGGTCGGTCTGTCGGTAGCTCGCCAAAGGTGGCAAATTGCTGGTACTCGTAGCAAAACCAAGTGGTTTTTTGGCACTGTCGAAGGGCGGTGGATGATAATGCTACATAACAATAATGATGGCTATGTTGATTCCCGCGGTGCGGTTAGTGGTGGTTGTGTATTTCCGAAGCTGTCTTCGTTTTCGAAGCGCAGCATCCTGTGAATCGATTGGAATACACACATACATACGTACTAAGTATATAAGCATACAATACAGTACAATATTTTGGGTTACTGTACTTGCACAGCAGGTAAGAAAAGTGAGTAACCAAAAAAATTATATTTTATTCAGCAAAACTTGGTATGCTTTCGGAAGCGTTTAAAAGTCTGATTTAGCTGGGGAAAATAAAGTACGTTGAACGCCTATCAGTACAACGTTGGGTCTAATGGCTGTTGTATGCAGCGCTGCATTTCGTCCCTCAGTTCGTAGAGATATATTCTGACGTGCCTAGCTAGGAGAGGCCATTTTGTTTCTAGCAAGTGAATGTTTAAGAGTTCACGTTGATAGCAGCCGATCAAGAACTGTTTGCTTCCTTTCTTTGAACACCTGCGCCTCGCTGCCTATAAGATGTTCTGGCGACATCACAAGACATCAGTAGCTATCCAAAGCTCTGTGCTTCCGGCGAGCGGATTGGGGACTTTGCTGTGACTCTGTATTTTGTGGGCGATTGCGGCTGTGCGCGTGAAGGAAGGGAGCAAGGGTTATCAGAAGTAACCTCAAGGACTTTCGAGTTGTTTATGGTTGATGGTCGGAATCGGTGTACCATAGAAATCTCGGCTGCAGTACGACCTCTTTCGTTCAGATGGTAAAGATTGTAGCCTGCAAGTGCGTCAATAGCGAACAATCAGCACATGAGTTCAGCGCTACTTCCTCAGGTGGATAGAGAGCTTCTAAGTATAGAAATAGAGCTGGCGTGGGGAAAGGACACCAAACTGTGGAGTCCCCTATTTAATTTTTCTCGGGTTCCAAGTTTGGTCCCGAATGCTAGTGGCTAGTCGCCGTTCACCGGTTGAGTCCCTGTGTTAGAGAAGAGAAAGAGAGAGAGACACGTTCGGGCTCTAGCAGCGTAGAGTGGAACATGGTGTCGAAAGCCCTTACACGGAACATTGCTACTAAGACGGTTCATTCACGGAAGCGATTGCGGTTAAGGCCACGAGTTATCTTGATGTGGAAACCATGTTGATGCTTTGCTGAGAACAGGTGGCAGATATAGCGTGGAAGCAGCAAGGCTTCTAGTATTTTTACTGCTAAGAAGAGAGGTATTATCGGGCGATAAGACTCCCTTTATTGGCTAGTTCTCAGGGCTTTTGTAGTGGATTTACTCTCCCTGTTTTCCGCAATGCAGGTATAAATACAGAGGCCATCGACAAGTTGAGGAGCTTGGTAAGTAGTCTGTTCCCGCCAGACCCATTTTTTAGCATCAAATGCTTATTCCGTTGTTTTAGTAGCTGCTTACTTAGCACTTAGTCCCAAAAAGTGTGCTATACCGACTAGTCTGTTGGACCAGCAAGAGAGGAGTGTTAGTTTAGTGGGCATGCGAAGAGGTGTGTCGAGCCATGGGATAACTTTCCGCAAGCCGAACATACGTTGCGCTTATCTGAGTTTATTCTACTCAGGTAGGAGTTTAACCTGCTGCAGTATCCAGAGCAGAGTTGAGCAAGGGTGGTGCGAATCTCACGATGCAGATGAACTTCTGTATCGTCCACGTCGGGCGGTTGTTTTCCTAAAACGGCATTCACAGGTGAAGAGTTGGTGTAAGTTTAGATCGACTCCTTGTGAATGCCGCTTATGGCCTGTCTGTACGCTGTCGGATACAGTGTTTTTTTTATGAACCTCTGGACCTCGTCCGTCAATTCGTATTAGATGCTTTCTGACGTTACTTGGCGAAGGCTCTGCCACAAGCAGATATCTTTTCGGGTGCCCACGTCTGTGGTGCGCTAAATAGGAACATATTCCGTTAGAAGCCATGAATTTGGAGTTTTTACCTTCCCAATTTCCGTCGGAAATTTACCGCTGGTGGAAGTTAGAGGCTCACTTTTTTATCAGTTTGTGCAGCTTTATAATCTCTCTACGTTTGGTGTTATCCATTGTTATGTAGCTGCATATTTGTACCTGAGGAGGCGGCATGCAGGCACCTTGCATCACAAGCTAGCTCGTCGGTTGGGGGGTTATTTCCGCCTGCCATGGTATTAGCTACACAAACCAAAATATTAGTCGTGCCTGATGTTGTAGTGAAATACTAGGGGAGGTCGCTATTGAAAGAAAAAAAGCAACAAAAAAAAGAGACATGGACGGACTAATGTCAGGATTAGGTGGCGTTGTAAGTAAAGGAGTCACGACAACGCCCAACGTTTCGCTTGGAGTTTACTTTGAAGAAGGGTGGGATGGCTCATTTAACCGGTTGAATAATCTCTGCAAATTTTAAGCAGTTGATTCAACCAGTTGCATGCCAAGTTTAATGGTGTGGGTGTTGATTTGTATACCATTTTTTATAAACGCATTTCGCAAATGCGACGCTGGCGAAATAAACTAAAATCAGCTGTCACTTTTGCCTGGTGTAAACAATTTATTTTCGCTGGAAAAAAAACAAGTTTTATTTCTGCCCTTTACAAATTATTTATCGGATTTTAAACCGCTTAAAAACATGTCTTTAGTTGCCTATGCGGCCAGCAGTGATGAGGATTCGGAATACAGCGAAGACGATACTCTCACTTCCAATGCAAAAGCCAGAGAAGGAACTGCCCCCCGATCCAATGGAACCAATGAAAAAATAGCCAATGGCACGATAAGTGACGATGAGGATGACTATGCACCAACAGAATTTACTGCGTTGCCTAATCCAGCAAAAATATCGCATGGCCTGTCGCTGCCTAAACCTAAAAACATAAATAATTCAAAAACCGAAGATGAAGAACTAGAAGAATTGGCTCCTAAATTTTCCAAGCTTCCTCTACCCAAAAAACAAAGTAGACAGCAGCGTAATTATAGAAGAAGACGATGAGTTTTTACATAAAAAAGCGTCACTACCTGTTGAAGAAGTGAAACCTAAGCCTGTACTAATAGCGCCTAATAAAGGTCCTGTTAGAATTACTATACCATCATTAAAAGAATTTAATGATGTTGATCAAGATATGGCAGGCAAAACTAAAATCAAGTCTTTACCAAAAGGGCAAAAGAAATGTAGTCTGCTGAATATGTTACCGCAGGCAAAATCAGAACAAAATTTCAGCAAAGCTACAACTGCGAACAAACCAGATAGTGGCACAAATAATAAAGCGAATGAAATGCCAAAACCCACAGCAGTTAATCCTTTTATTCCGGATACTGTAAAAAATCGACGCCCCGCACATAATACCGAGTGTGTGGATGGTATGAAGATAATTACGAAAAAATCGGCAGCCAAGCCAAAAATAACATTAGTTGAATGTAGCAACAGCGACGAGGATAGTGATGAAGGTGGCGACTTCTTTTCACTTAAATCTGAAGATAAACTGCCTGAGGTTAGCATGAATGAAATAAAGGCAATAGTAGCGCAACGTGCAGCTAAAATGGTCAATGCAGCTGCAGAGTTCTTGAATAAAGCTGCTGAGCAAGAAAAAGCCCAAGTAGAAACTATGGAAATAGATTACGAGCAACTTTCGGCTGAACATAATCATAATAAAGCCATATTGGACCAAACTGCCATACAAGCATTAGCTGGAAGTACTGCAAAGCGAAGAAGAAAAGAAGAGAACATACAGGTCGTCGATATTTCAAGTGCTGAAGTACTACCAAGTAGAGAGGAATGGATGCGAACAGCTTTAGCATCTTCTACTGCCTATCAACCCACTGGGGTGCTAGTTGATGAAGAGCCAGCAGCAGGCACTAGACGAAAACATCAAATAACTTATCTGGCACATAAAGCGAAGGCCAACGAAGCTGAATTACAGGCAATGTGGTCTGCAAATCGTCAAACTCGGCGAGCTACACAAAGCAAATATGGTTTCTAGAAGTTAATTGTATTAATTTTATTGCATAGCATGTTTTATCTAAAAAAAAAATAAAGTAATGAAATACACACATACATACGTATAAGAAATGAGTTTACATAGTGCACATGTATCACCAAGACTCAATCTTGTTCAATCGCCCAAATACGTACACAATGGACGCTGAAAGCAATATCCAAATGGGTACCATTGTTACAAAAATTGATATCTCCCATTGTGGATACTCCAACCGCAAACAGATCATCAGCTGGGAAGCAATCTTAAGCAGCACACCGCATATGTACCACTGGTAGTAGATTAACAACTCTTTGAGACGTTTCAAATTTCGCCATTTCCGTATAATTTTAATAACAACGTAAATAATTAATATGCCGTCAAACACCCATAGCGGTATGAATGTAACAAACCAGCTCCAGTGCGTTCGTGGATCCAAACGTAAGCACAGTAAGATTAGGAAGACAAGCACAATGAACCAGGTGAAAAGTGCGCGATGTGCTAGTGTCATGGCGCAGAAGTGCTACTCCTAAATTGCTATCATTTTTCTTTAATATTTTGATGAAAATATTTTGTTTATTGGTTTAAATTGCGGTCCAGGCAACAAAACTGAAGAACTATTTTGATATACAATTCAGTACAGTGGAACTTGCATACAACGAACTGTGTAATAACAACAAAACCTGTTGTTAATGCTGCCACTCGTCTAAAAAATCAAATTTTTTTTCGCTTTTCTTTCAATGGCGCGAATATCGGAAACACTAAACATGTTTTCCACAACCTGAATAGTTAATTTTTATTTGAGTATAAATTAACTAGAATATAAAGGCATCGGCAGATGGAAATTCTTTTTGCGTCACAGGGATGCTTTTAACTGGCATCTACGTTCCCACCATGATTGAATCATGCGTTCCCACGACAGTCGGGTCAGTCATTTTATTTCGAAGGTATGGCAAGTTCTAGTTTGATAGATGAATGTAGTAGTAGAGCAAAATTAACTTGACGTGTCATTTTTTCATCTAGGGGAGGTATATTTTTCTATCGGTCCAATTTTATAAAAACTGTGTTAATTTGCTATACATATTAAGCTATTCCACAAATTATTATAAAAACAGGAAATATAGTGTCTAAAATATAAACATTTAAAATTACAGCTCACATAGTGTAGAAAGGAAGAAAAAAACTTAACTGCCGACAACTCATCAATCAACGGGACGAAGGTAATAGTGAATCGGTGCGACCACCACACTTGTTCGTAAAATCGAAATATAGCGCATGAAAATACTCCAAAGATGTTGACCAACTTTGAATCAAAGTCAGCACGTGTTAAAGGCTTATCTTTTCACCCCAAACGACCATGGATTCTTGCCAGTTTACACACTGGTGTTATCCAACTATGGGACTACCGCATGCACACCTTGCTTGAAAAATTCGATGAGCACGATGGCCCTGTGCGAAGTGTCGCATTCCATCAACAAATGCCACTGTTTGTGTCCGGAGGCGATGATTATAAAATTAAGGTCTGGAATTATAAACAACGCCGTTGTATATTCACTCTCTTAGCTCATTTGGATTACGTGCGCACGGTGGCTTTCCATCATGAGTACCCATGGATTCTCAGCTCCTCAGACGATCAAACTATTCGAATTTGGAACTGGCAGTCCCGTAATTGTATTTGTGTGCTCACTGGGCATAATCATTATGTGATGAGCGCACAGTTCCATCCAACAGAAGATCAAATAGTGTCTGCTTCGTTGGATCAAACAGTGCGAGTTTGGGACATTTCTGGACTGCGTAAAAAGAATGTTGCGCCTGGACCCGGTGGTTTAGATGACCATTTAAAGGGACATCCGGGCGCTACAGATCTTTTCGGCCAAGCCGATGCTGTAGTCAAACATGTTTTGGAAGGTCACGATCGTGGTGTTAATTGGGCTAGTTTCCATCCCACTCTGCCACTTATTGTATCAGGAGCAGATGATCGTCTTGTAAAACTATGGCGTATGAATGAATACAAAGCTTGGGAAGTGGACACATGCCGCGGTCACTACAACAACGTGTCCTGTGTGCTTTTCCATCCTAGACAAGATTTAATTCTTTCCAATGGTGAAGACCGTAGCATACGGGTTTGGGATATGACTAAGCGCCAGTGCTTATACACATTTCGACGTGATGGTGAACGTTTCTGGATACTTGCTGCTCATCCAACCTTGAACTTGTTTGCCGCTGGACACGATGGCGGTAAGAAATTGAGATAACACATTTATGTTATTGATTATAATTCAATGATTTTCCTTTTCAGGTATGGTTGTATTCAAATTAGAGCGCGAACGTCCAGCTTATGCCGTGCATGGTAATTTGCTCTATTATGTAAAGGATCGTTTTCTACGCAAACTTGACTTCACAACTACTAAAGACACAGTTGTCATGCAATTACGTGGAGGTGGTAAATCGCCAGTGCACAGCATGTCTTATAATCCGGCATTAAATGCGGTACTCATTTGCACGCGTACTAACAATTTAGAGAATAGCACGTATGACTTATATCAAATTCCCAAAGATTCTGAATCGCAAAATGAGACGGAATCAAAACGTTCATCCGGTATAACCGCAATCTGGGTGGCCCGTAATCGATTTGCTGTACTCGACCGTAATCAGCAGTTGGCAATAAAGAACTTCAAAAATGAGGTTACTAAAAAAATACCAACCTTCTGTGAGGAAATCTTTTACGCTGGCACTGGAATGCTGTTGATACGTGATCCAGAATATGTCACCCTTTATGAGGTACAGCGATTAGTATCTGTTGGTTGCATCAAATTGGCCAAGTGTCGTTATGTTGTTTGGTCTGCCGACATGTCGCTGGTAGCGTTGCTCTGCAAGCACTCAGTTACCATTTGCGATCGCCGCCTGCAATATTTGTGCACAATCCAGGAGAACTGTCGCGTCAAGTCAGGTGCCTGGGATGACTCGGGTGTCTTTATTTACACCACCAGCAATCACATTAAATACGCTATCACAAACGGTGACCACGGTATTATCCGCACACTTGACTTGCCCATTTACTTGACTCGTGTTAAAGGCAATCAAGTATTTTGTCTGGATCGGGAATGTCGTACACGTGTACTCCATATTGATTCGACAGAATATAAATTTAAGCTGGCTCTAATCAATCGTAAATACGATGAAGTATTGCATATGGTGCGTAATGCACGCCTTGTGGGCCAGAGTATCATTGCCTATCTGCAACAAAAAGGATATCCTGAAGTGGCGCTACATTTTGTCAAGGACGAGAAAACGCGATTCGGTTTGGCCTTAGAATGTGGCAATATCGAAATTGCATTAGAAGCAGCTAAGGCACTCGATGATAAGGACTGTTGGGATCGACTAGGGCAAGCCGCATTGCTTCAGGTAGGCATAGGAACTGATATTTTTTAATTTTAATTCAGCATTAAATAATAACACATGTGTATGTATGTACCTTGCATTATAGGGTAATCATCAAGTGGTCGAGATGTGCTACCAACGCACCAAGAACTTTGACAAGCTCAGTTTTCTATATTTAATAACTGGCAATCTCGAAAAACTTAAGAAGATGAATAAGATTGCAGAAATTCGCAAAGATGTTTCAGCCCAGTACCAGGGTGCCCTGCTGTTGGGTGATGTCAAGGAACGCGTAAACATTCTTAAAAACTGCGGCCAACTTTCGCTGGCCTATCTTACCGCTGCGACGCATGGTTTTCAAGAACAAGCAGAACAATTAGAGACAACGATCACCCAGGAAGGTAATGAGTTGCCCGTGGTCAATCCAAATGCAACGTTGCTCCAGCCACCTGTACCTATTCAGCAAGTGGAAAGTAACTGGCCACTACTGACCGTGTCGAAGGGCTTCTTTGAAGGTGCCATGATTACACGTGCAGGCACTAGTGCCACTGCACGGCAAGCGCTTAACGCCAATGCCGATGCAGCTGTGTTGGATGATGTCGGCGCAGGTGACGGTTGGGGTGCAGATGCAGACTTGGGTCTTGGAGAAGACGGTGACGATGAAATGCATGACGCTCTCGATAGCGAACCTGGTGCAGAAGGTGTTGGGGAGGAGGGTGCTGGCTGGGATGTGGGTGATGAAGATTTGGTAGTGCCAGAAGAACTTGCCTCGAAAATTAAAGCTTCTGCTTTGGATAATGGCTTTTATGCTGCACCAAGCAAAGGGCTCTCTGCTCCCCAGCACTGGGCTAATCATTCGCCTCTTGTAGTAGATCATGTTAAAGCTGGCTCCTTTGAATCGGCATTCCGGCTACTCAACGATCAATTGGGTGTTATTAATTTCAAGCCTTTTAAAACATTATTTTTGCAGAATTACACTTGTGCACGCACAAGTTTTACAGCTATGCCCAATTTGCAGTCACTGTCCGCATACCCGCTTCGCAACACCGGCGAAACCAATCCGAAAAATCAACGCCCGGCATTGGGTGTAAAATTAAACGATTTAGTGCAACGGTTGCAAGCCGGCTACCAGCTCACCACAGCTGGTAAATTTACAGAAGCTATCGAAAAATTCCATTCCATTTTGTTACACATACCACTGTTGGTGGTGGAGACAAAACAGGATATCGCAGAAACACAGCAATTGTTGAAGATCTGTTCCGAATACATACTTGGCTTGAAAATGGAAACCGAACGGAAGGGTATGCCAAAGTCTACGTTAGAGGAGCAAAAGCGCCTCTGTGAAATGGCCGCCTATTTCACGCATTGCAAACTACAGCCTGTCCATCAGATCCTTACATTACGCACAGCTTTGAATATGTTCTTTAAGCTGAAGAACTATAAGACGGCTGCATCTTTCGCCCGACGACTACTTGAGTTGGGTCCACGACCAGAAGTCGCACAACAAGTACGCAAAATCTTGCAGGCCTGTGAAGTTAATCCCATAGACGAGCACCAATTGCAGTATGAAGAGTTCAATCCATTTAACATTTGTGGTATAAGCTATAAGCCGTTATACCGCGGTAAACCAGAGGTGACGTGCCCATTCTGTGGTGCCTCTTTCGATACGCAATACAAGGGACAGCTTTGCACCGTCTGTGAAGTGAGTCAAATTGGCAAGGACAGTATTGGGTTGCGCATATCGAATTTGCAATTTCGCTAAAGAAGTGCATTGAAGCACACCGTTAATTTTAGTTCATAACTTTATACATACATATACCAGAAATTTTTATGAAGATGTGGTTTTGTCGATTACAAACTTTAATGTTATGTTAAACATATTCCATTAAAACTGACATATTTAACCTGTACGAAAATATTAAATAAAGTAAGATATAAAACACTTTTACGCATTAATTTAATCGTTAGTGAACAGGTAGCATTTAAAATTATTCAACCATCTATATGACGACGCCTTCAAGCGTGTCAGGCGTTCCCACGACAGTCGGGTCTACGTAACCGGAACGACCCAGATTTATATTTGGCCAAGGACTGTCACTCCAGCAACACTCCCCAAAAACTCTTTGGGGAATTTGTATGCTGCTACAACAACAACAACGCGTGTCAGGTTAACCGTCCTGGACCGAATGTAATCACTATCAATAAGTTAATATTATTAAATGATGGCAAGGTGGCGAAAGTCATAAAAATAATTTTGGAATAATGAAATCTCCGTACCCACTGAAAAAGAAACCAAGCGGGGAATAAATCAGAGAACTCCTTGGTCCGGCGGCAGTCCGGCGGTTTGAATACAAAAACTATAGCAACAACCAGTGCCGGTCGCAGTAGCCGTCAGAATGCTGTTGTAAACATTTTGCTACGACAGGCGCTCAAGCAATTTCCTCGTATATGAAGAAGAAAACTGTCGAAAAAAGAAGCAAAGTTTGTAAGAAAATCACACGCAACTTTCTCAACAAACAAAAACTAAACGATTATAAAATTCTGTATTGCTGACACATAGCAGCCTAACCTATATTTCAAATAAAATAAACTAAAAACTACTCCTGGATAATTTTACTCGTACAAGAAACTTTAATTAAAAAATATAGGTAAAGCAAAAGTGTACGAAATAATACAAAAGAAGGTTTAACTTAATAATAGTAAAAGTTTGAATATCAACTGCCACAACTTATGCTTATATTTTAATCAATAAAATTTAATTAGTACATAATAATTATTGATAATTGATTAAATTGTTGATTGAAGCATTAGATGAATATTCGAGTATTTAGTTTGGTTTATATTTATTCCTAACCACAACACTCTTACAAGTTTTTATAGTGAATGGATCTTTTCGCTCCTCTCTCCAAACCCATTAGGCCTCATTCAACGCCGCCACATACTAGCACCTACACCAATGCCACCTGAGGGCACACCACGACGTACAGCTTCCATATCAACTTCTGGTCGACTATCACGATATGCACGTTTTGAGTCTTCAAATTCTCGCAGCCTTAAATTGTATCTTTCGATCTGCTCCCGCAATATTTGATCTTCGTGCATAGCACGTCGTTCATCGAACTCTAGGCAGCCCGAACCATCTAAACGCTCCAAGTCTAGCCAACCTCGAAAACGTACGCACACACCATTCATTATGAAGTACGACTTTATGTACACTTTACCGTGCTCCTTGTCAAAGTCGCACTCTTTATCGTGCAAGTACGGATTCTGTGTTGCATTGAAAACTAGCTGCAGATTGGTGCCCGATGCAACGAACGAGATCTCGGTATGACCCTCGCGACAACCGTTGTGGAAACGCATTTGTCGTTCCTCCAAAGCACGCTCGCGATAGCCAGTATAGCGTATCTCGCTTTCGCGGCTGAGACGACGAAATAGTTCGTCGCTTTCAAATTTAGCCTTTTGATCGGGCACCACACGCGGCATTTTGAAAATAAAACGTGGCCTGTAAGCATAAAATTAGTGTAAATTATGATGATTTCCTTGAATCAAGGTACATGTACCTGGGCTGCTCGTAGATGCCTATGGGATCGTTGTAGATCATACTTGCCAAAGCTGCCTCATTCATTTTATCCAGAAATGGTTCCACCTCCTTGGCTTATTATGCACGGATTATATATGGAATCTTTCTTATGCTCCTTTTAGTTTAGGTAACAATTTTGTACAGGAACCGCACTGAATTTCACTTGGATCACAATTAATTCAACATACACCTGAAAACACGAAAATTTGACCAGCCTGGTATTTTTCGTTTTCTGTTGTTATACCAACATTTTTGCGGTTTGAAGGGCTGCATTTTTATGTAGCAACTGTAATACCTTGTACCTTCAAGAGTCATACCTAAATAAACGCTCTTCACTTATCAGCAGGACTTCAATGCTGAAACTTAGTACTTGAAGGAGGCCTTTTATTGCAATGGACAGTTATTAAAATACAATAGATTTTAAATTATAACTGGTTATGTAAAAGATAGATGAAATCAGAAAAGTTCGTATTCAGTACATTTTATGATCGATTATTACTGCGAAAACCCCAAACATTTTCTCCCTCAATTCACAGCACTGTTGACTTTTGACTTTTGACAGTTGACATTTTACTTCATCGCACGTGTGTTATTTCTGTTTTTGGTGATTGGGTTTGCTTATTTCTGGCATAGTAATTTTAATTAAAATAATTGTGATTGTTTTAAAATGGCGCCGCCAGCAGCATCAGGCATCAGCATCTCAACACAAGCCCAAAATAAAAAGATTGTATTCGATGACGACGGCCAGATTTTGGAAGAGGGCGCAAGAGGCAAGGACTTGAAAGGAGCGAAGAAGGAGGGCAAGAAGAAAAAGTTAAAAGGAGACAAAAGGAAAGGATCGCATGGACTGCAGGAAGAGCACAATAAGCAGGAGGACACTGAGAATGATGAGAATGACTACTTTGCCAAACGCGAAAAGAAGCGCCAACAGCAGAAAGATGAAAAGGATGATGCTGATACAAATAAAAAATGGTTTAATGTTGTAAGTAATCAACTCATACAATTTGCAAGAAAAACATTTAGAATGTCGCCTATAATTTAGTACCCTGAGTATCCTTCATCGGAAGAAGTACTGGACATGAAAGAGTCTGAGCAAATGGAATTATACAATTTATGCAAAAATGCATTCGAAGCCGAACTGACGGCTTTTTCCAAGCGTGAGTAGTCATATAAAATTTACTATTTCCATACATAGTATGTGGCCTATAACCGTGTAATATCTGTTTTTTTTGCAACAGGTGATGCCTCAGATGCCCGTTGGCTGCAAACGGCTTTGCGTAAGGGTACTGCAAAAGATAGAGCCAACGCTGGCGCCCTTCTGGTTACTAGCAATCCGTTGGGTAATTTGGAGGCATTGAGCACACTAATTGGCTTTACTAAACAATCCAATAAAGCATCAAATGAGGTTATGACCATATTAGTAGATTTATGGAAAAAGGTCCTACTGCCACCGCATCGAAAACTCCTATCCTTGCAAATGCGTGGCGCTGATTGGAAGTTAGTGCGTAAAAATACGACATTAAGTAAAGATAAACAGCGACGCATTTATGCATATTGGTACTTTGAGAATGAGTTGAAAGACCAGTATTTTGGTATGAAAATACTCGTATATTGTTAGCCTTTAAATTTAAAAATAATTACTCTCGATTTTTTTTTTTTTGTAGAATTTCTAAGAAATCTTCAACAGGCGATCCAAACAGGTCAAGAGCACAATAAAAACGTGGCGATCGTTGCCGCATCGCAACTATTATCTTTTGCACCTGAAAAAGAACAAATGATACTCACTTTACTTATTAACAAACTTGGTGATCCCACAGCGAAAGTGGCATCAAAGGCATTGCATCATCTTAGTGAAGTTGCCCATCGTCATCCAAATATGTGCGGTGTTATTGTCGCAGAATCCGAGAAGCTACTTTTCCGTAACAACATCTCTGAAAGGGCTCAGCACTTTGCACTTTGCTTCCTAGCAAGTATCGCAACTTCAGGCCGCCCAGAAGTTTGCACTAAGTTAGTAAATATTTGTTTTGCGCTGTTTAAGGTGCTTGTAGAAAAAGGTGCTGTCAACAATCGGACAATGCAAGCCATTTTACGTTGTTTACAAAAGGCGATTTTAGAGGCAAAGCCAACAGAAGGCTCAAGTGAAATTCTTAGCAAGGATATGCAAGACACAATCTATCGGATGGTACATTTGGCTGATATCCGCGTTTCTGTGCAGACACTTGGTTTGCTTTTGCAGCTAATGACTGTGAAAACGGAGAAATCCGATCGTTTCTACAATGCACTCTATAAGAAAATGCATGACCTTGAAGTCATAAACGTGGGTGTTAAAACAGCTGCGCAACTACTTCATATCATCCATCGGGCAATACATATAGATGGAAATGTACAGCGTGCGCAAGCATTTATTAAGCGATTGCTGCAATGTGCACTTTACATGCCGCCAAATATGGCTGCCGGTTGTCTTATAGTGATAAACAAATTATTACGTAGCCGCAAAGAGCTGGCAGGTGGTGTAAGTCCGTACGAAACTAAAGATAATTCCACCAATGTTGCACCAACTGCACCTAAAGTGAAATCCGACGATGCGGAGCTGTCCAAATTTGATAGCGATGGCGAAGAAAAGTATGAGGATATACGCGATGAAGAAGAAACTGCAAATGAAGAGAATTTGGAAGAACGTAATGATTTGGAAGAATCTAAAGTAAACCCGTCAACGATTTCCTCATGGCATCATGCAAAATTAGAATCATCTGTAGCCGATGCAAAAGTACGAGATATTGCACCAAACAAATATGACCCTTATCACAGAGTGCCCTCGTTCGCTGGCGCTGAATTTGCATTGCGACACGAGTTGTTGCTGCTCCGCGAGCATTTTCATCCTACCGTTCAAGTTTTTGCGAATAATATTTTGCAACGTAAGTAGATATACGATATAATGTGATAATTTTTTTTACAAATTTATTCACATGATTACAGAAAAAAGGATCGATTATTATGGCGATCCATTGCGCGATTTCGGCTTACCACATTTTCTTGAACGTTTTGCTTTTAAGAATCCAAAAAAATTGGATCAAAAAGATGAGGCCCCCATAATCACACATAAACGCTATGTGTCATTCGGAACACGTGGAAAACCGGTTAAATCTCTAACGAAAGCAAACTGCACTGAAGACGAAATGTACATTTTTAATTTCCTGGAGCAAAAACGCCAACAGACTGTCGTTAATAAAATAAAGAAGAAGGAAGTTGCTGAAAATGAGGAAGATGAACAATTGAAAGAAGGCGAGGTTGGAGACGATGAATTTGAGGAATATCTAGGTAGCTATTTTGGCAAAAAAGCTAAAGCAGCAGCCGATGCTGAGGACGGAGAAGAAGAGCTTGACTTCCTCAAAGAGCTAGGCGGAGAATTAAAATCTGACAGTAAAAAGAAAAATAAAAAATCCTCTAGAGATGATGACGAAGATGATCTGGAAGATATTGATGCAGATTGGGGTGATGATAATATAGAAGAGGGTGATCTTGCCGGAGATAACGACGTGTCTGACGATGATGACCGTTCGATTGATGGCGAGGAAGATGATGATGCTGGTTCAATATCATTTGATGAGGAGGATGGCCCAGACGATTTAAGCGACGATGGCGAAGAGAGCATGTCGGAAGATATGAGTGATGATGAGGGAGATGATGATGATGATGATGATGATGAAGACGGCTTGTCAACTACTCGAAAGAAAAAGTCTCGCAAACGACCAGTTGCATTGAATGAAAAGAGTTTCGCAAAGAAACTTAAGCATAGTGATGGTGAGTACAATTAAATATTGCTTTATGCTCTCTCTATTTAATGTTGGCATTTTAATTTGTAGATATGAGTTCACTGTTCGCCGCGGCTGATGATTTCGCAGAACTGCTAGAAGAAACGGGTAAAACGAAGGGACATGGTACCTCAAATGCCCTGTTCAATAAGGACAAATCATCCGCAAAACAAATGAAATGGGAAGAAAAACGGCACTCCAATTCGAAATCGTACACAAAACGTTCGAAAAAAGTGTTTGCTGGTCAAAGAAATACTAATAAGAAGCGAAAATGAGTTTGTGCAGTAATTGATGTTAATTTTGTAAAAACAAAAATTAAATAAAACAAATTAGTCCTAGATTTCAAATTTCAGCGTTATAATAGGAATCCTTGCATGCAATTTTTTGGGAAATATGACACATTTCTAATGCACGTTTAGCATTTTTTGCCGTTGCGACATCGTTAGCAAATTGCTTTTGTTATGATAACAGCATACTTTTGCTAGGGTATTCGCCAATACACAAGCATTTCACATCTGTTTTCTACTCAAACAAATTTGAATTAAAACACATTTATGTTAGTATTTTTTCTGTTTTGCTATTGTTAATCGTATATAGTAATAACTTTCTTCTAGATGCAATATAGATACATATATACATTATTTTTCTAATAAGTACAATTTTCTTTTTATGTATGTAGTATATAATTTTTACTTAATAATATTGACTATACTAGCTTTCATACTATGTTATATGTTAGTTGCTAAAAAAAGTTATATTCATATATTACACTACTTTTTTTTGATATTAAAATAATAGTTTTTTTTTTTATAATATAATCTTAACCAACTTGATATATAATCCCGGTAATTTATATTACTTCTGTTATGTAGAACTTATAGTAGTTTTTATCGGATTTCCGCACACACATATATGTATATGTATGTATTTGCATACAAATAGATAATTGGGGTTGTACAAGCTCGCATTTATATATGTATTTTTTTTAATTACCCTATTAAACGTCTCTCATTCTAATAGTAATGTCTATATAGTTATCATAAAACGTTGAAGTAAACGAGCCTATTCCTGTTGGCGCTGTCGTTTGAAAACGAAATAAAAACGACAATTTGACATCACTGTTGGCGTTATCGACATTTATCGCAAATACATATATCGATATTCTTCATTTTGAAACGAAAACAGTTCATTGACGACATAGAAAAATTCGTTATGCCATTAGGTGTTTTTCAGCTCGACCACGTGTGCGCTGATTTTGGCCAGTTTCTTCACTGTTGTGGGAGTTTTCATTTTTACGCTCATTTGCTCGAAAGTAGCCCGAAAAAAACAGTCCCGATTATTTGTTAAGAAGTTCTCTACTAGAGTCCGACCGCTTAATCGACATCGGCAACGGCCGTGTTTGGTCGATTC